TGTTTGGGGGCAATTCAAGGCATAAGCCATCCTGCCCAGCCGGAAATTAGGTATTTTTTTAATCTCCGGTTTATGAAATAAGGAACTTTGGTCAAAGCATCTGGCTAATTCATAAGAGAAGCCAAAGTAAGAGTTCATACTTATCTAATGCCCTCATCTGTGCTGTGTGCTGCAATACAATACAAAAGTGGTTTCCCAAGAAGAGGTTTCCGAAAGAGCCCTGGTTGGGAAATGATTGTGTGCCATCACTTACTTCTGCCTCCCCTAAATGAAGCTGTGAATACATCCCTCATATCTAAGTCTCAGAGCCTAATGGTGCCTTCCTAGAATACAGATATAAAATGTCACCAATGCATATCCCAACCTTCCAGAATACTCTGTATGGTGTGGTGAGCTACGTTGGTTAATGCCTGGTTTTGTTGTTTGTCATTTGAGTCCTGATTCTGACTCCATGAAGATGGATAGTCGACAATCGTCTCTGCCACATCATCCATGTTGCTCAGAAGTCTAAAGGAGGATAGGACTTGGTGGCCATCAAATCCAAATCTTGGGGGCAAATGTCATTCCCATCACCAAATTATTTTAATTAGCAAAAGCAATGCTACCAATTAAGTTTATATCTGTACATAGTTTACAACTTGCTTTGACAGATGCTTTACAGATCAATCTATACAGCATCATTTTTGAAGAGGTTATAAACCATGTCACCTTTGTGAAAAAGCCAACATTGTCTTGTTTTTCTCACAAACTATCTTGAAATAATATTATATATCCCTAACTATGAAATATGAAATGGTTTTTTGTACCTACCTATTTTGTTAACAAAATTTCCTCTGGTTTGTCCCCAAATATTTGGAAATACCACCTGCCAGACTATGTCTATAATCCACAGCTGTGATATTAGGAGAAACTCAGAAGTCTCCAACGATGAAACTCATTTCCCCTAAAATGTATCTCTTCAATAAGGCAGGGTAGTAGTTGTTTGAAAATGATGTTTTACATTTTCTGCTTTTATGATTTTGTTCACAAAGCTGCTCCTCTACTAATTTTTAGCTCTTCCTCAAATCATGTCCCAAGGGCTGGCAATGCAGTTCATTAATACATTACTTTACAAGTACTCACACAAAGCCTCTTGGTACTTACACTGCCAACAATTAATTAATTGTCAATAATTAAAGATGAAGTATTTCCCATATGCAACCATTTTCATGAAGTCTTCCTTCAGACTTCCAAAAGAAAGTGTTCTTATCCTTCACTGTATCAACAGAGGTCTTTGTGATCTATACTCACATATGTATGCAAATACATATGTCTATATATATGAAGTTCCTTTTCTTTCCTGCAGTGTTGGGGACCTAAGTTAACAAAATCGGCAACTACACTATATCCTGAGCTATTTTGTTTTGTCTTGCTTTGTGGATACTGCTTCTTGCTGTGTAGACAAGCTCACTATGTAGTCCAGGTTGGCCTGATATTGATGTTCCTCCAGCCTCAGTCTCTGCAACCTATTACAAGTAAGTACCACCACATCCAGCAAAGCATATATGTCTTCATGATCATTGTGATGGCTAGTGTGTTTGTCTTTTCAAATTACACTGTAAACTACTTAGAATCAGCTGTAATTTACATCTGAAATTACTCTTAGAGCAGCTATTCTAATATACAAGTATTTAGAACACAGGATTCAAGAAACTTTTCCTGACCATCATTTTATTAAAAATAATGCTGGCCTAGGAAGACACCCACACAGTCCCTTGTTTCAATCCCCAGCACCCCAAAATTACAACATGCATGTCAATGAATGGTGATAGAGTATTGATCATGAGCCAAGAAGGATATTTGCATATTATAAATAATTTAATATACAAAATACCGCGGTTGGAAGAATTGGGAACTAATAGGCTTAAATAAAATGTTCAAGATTTCACAGCAAGTGAAGTTTCCAGTCCTAAAATTCAACCAGGTAAAGTCATGTGCCTGGAATCTCAACATTACATGCACTCACAAGGCGTAGGCTACCAACGGTATACAGATACTGTCTGTTTTGCTGCCCATAAATAAATAGGTAAATAAATAAATGTAATAAAATCCAAAAGGCACAGGCTTTTAAACAAATTTTGAGCAAATAAAAAATAATTCATAAGTTTAATATTGACCAAAGTAACTTTTCAAAATCGCCTTCCAGTTTAAGAACACATAGAAAAGCTAAGAAAGTAAATAAATAAATATGAATCTTCTCAGTCAAAATATATTAAGTATGACACAAGAGAAAGTTTTGAAGCACTAAATTAGAATAATGATTTATGATCAGATTGAATTTATATATTATAACATAAAATACAAACTTAGAAGACTGATAAACTAAGGTTAAAACCATTAGGGCATTAGGGCAACATAAAAACTTGGGTCCTTGAGAACATAATCTTCATCTCCTTCTTCCCAAAACAGAGTATTTTTTTTTAATGAAAAGGCTAGAAAGATGGCTCTGTGGTTAATAGTATTGCATGCTCTTCAAGAAGACTTGGGTTCAATTCCAAGTACCCCCATTGCAACTCAGGAATATCTGTAACTTCAGTCCCAGGGATCCAATACCTTTTCCTTGCTTCATTTGGCACCAGATATACATATGGTACTCAGGCATACATGCAGGTAGAACACCCACATATATTAAATAAATTAAATTAAAAACAAAATGTGTTATGAAAATGATAATGGGGGATCTCAGAGATGATATGAACATTAATGAGTACCCACACAGTATGTGGAAAACACACTCAAGGATGCAAGAATAAAGTACTAAATCCCCTGTACTTGAGTATTGCTCACATTGCTGCTATTCTTATGAGAACATAGTATGTTTAAGGACACGTTCTTGAGAAGAATGAAGAGCTGCTATTGCTGCATTCACTCATTATGTGGTAACAGAACATACTATTCCTAGGAGGAGAAAGGGAAACAGAGTCCAACCACCCAAAACTCAGTATTTCTTTTCACATTGGTTCTTAAACTTATTTATTCATCTAAGAACTGGAGGTCAACAAAAGAAAGCCAAGTTGGAGCCCTGCTTTTATAAATCTCTCTGTGTATGTGTCCCTCCCTGCTATCTTCAGACATCAGCTCCTGGCTTTCAGATATGCTCTTTGGAAGCATGAGCATGGCATTTAGCACTAGACCTCTGGGTATATGAACACCAAATCTACCTTTTGTTTTCATTTTCAGATGTTTCCAGGCTAGGATCTGAACTCCACTTTCTTCTAATAAAAGGAGAGGTAAGGTCTCTTGGGAAGCTGTTCCACAAATGCTCATGCCTACAACAGTTCAGTTCTACTCTGTGCTGATTAGAGCCCTTAGAAACTCCCTTGGTCTCCCCAAAGTGACGAGTCACCAAAATCTTGGACCAAAGTATTCCCAACTCTAAATTGGCACTGCTGTCAAGAAGGGAAGGTTCAAGAGTGACAAGTGCCATCTAATTTATGACACTGAATGATGAGACAAATATTATTGGTTATGGTTGCCAATAAATCAATGACCCAAAAGCAATTGACATTTTCCATTTTAAAAATTTCTTGAAAAATCTCTGTGTTATTTAGTCTCCTAGAAAGCATGTGCCTGAAAACCCAGAATCTGCAAAGTCAGAAAGTCCCCAAAAACTAGGACAGCTTTTGTTCTGGCAACTTTTCAAATGGGGTTGAGAGAGAACTGGAGCTTGAAACTGCATTGAAGATTTCTGACATATTTTAGTAAACCCAATGTCAAAAACAAAAACAAATTAAAGGCAAGAAAGCCTTAACACTGAAGTTGAAGTCATCTGTGCAGTGGTGTGATAAACAGAGTTACTTTGAAGCTATCAAGAACTTGCTTGGTTTGTTTGTATTGCTCCAGTTTTGTGATAAGAACTTTTCATATTGAAAATTTTTAAATCATATCCCGAAATACCAAAGAAAAGATACATTTTTTTAAATGGATGCAGCAATATACACGTTCACAATTACAATTCATATGCTCTGTTATGGGAAGTAAAAACTCAAGTTCCCTTGCCTTCTCATCCTCTAACTTCGTTTTCATTATGTAGGAAAAGGGAAAGAGGGAGGGAGGAAAGGAGAGGGAGCATCATGGGAAGGCAACCTCAGATATTTTGTCAATGTAAAGGAACCACAGTGTGGTTGGTTGGTATCCAAAGAAATATGACTCATCTCTCACAGGAAGAAAAAACTTTGCATTGTGTTCATATATGCAAACTGTGCTGTAATTATTAGCTCCTGTGTGTTTGTGCATGTGCATGTGCGTGAGAGAGAGAGAGAGAGAGAGAGAGAGAGAGAGAGAGAGAGAGAGAGAGAGAGAGAGAGAGAATCCAGCCAGGAAGAGGCAAGCACTAGAGCTGTCCAGGGAGAAACCAGCCTTTAAATAAATTTAAAGTGCTCTTATGATGCAGGCACCTCTACTCTGGCTTTTCAGCAAAGCCCTGTTGCTGAGGCCTCTTCATTTACAGATGCCCACAGACATTTTTAGATACTTGTGAGCTGATCTCCAGCTCAGTGCACTTGGCTCTTTCATCTGGAGAAAAAGAAGGGGAATAAGACAGGAGCATGTGCCCCTTTACACCTCTACCCCACCCCAGGCTGTTGCTCCTCTCCCTAGCCAAAATCCAGGAGGCCAACCAGTGAGGCAGCACCACAGAATGGATCAAGTCTATTCTTTTCAGAGGCTCACCCCCTTCACATCCCAGCCACCCACCCATCACCTTCTGCACATCTCTTCCCTGTCTTTGAGCCACCCAGCCCTGCAGACTCAGCAGAGGGTGCAGGGGTGGTTTGGAGAAAGGCAGGGGTGTTTCCCTCTCACCCATCCCCCGTGCTTCCCAGAAGAATGTCCTCTGCTTCAAGAGGGCTGCCGCCAAGTTAGAGGAACTTAGATGGTAAAGGTTGGTCTACCATGGTCCTCCTGGAGGAGCCTCCCTCAACCTGCAGAAAACAAGAGAAGGCTAGTAGCCCAGGGCTTACCACGAGCACCGGGACACCAGCGGCCAGCGAGTAGAGGAGCACAGGGGGCACCGCGCTGCTGTCCTCTGGACCGGGATAGGGTTTGCGGTAGGCGCTGTCGTGGCAGAAGAAGCCTTGCACGTTCACAGTGAACGTGTCCGTGTATTCAAAGTAGTACGCCAGCATCACAGTCCCTGCCATGATCACCATCTGGAAATAGAGCATGCTGCTGATGAGCGCCACGGGCAGCAGGGGCATGCACGCCTCCCGGCCAAGCGGAGCCGAGCAGGCGGCCAACGCGCCACAGGCCCCCTCCGGGCTCAGCCAAGGCACAGCCACCGGGGGCGCGGGGGCGGGGGCGGCGAGAGGCCGAGGTGGCGCGAGGCGGAGGCTGGCTGCTGCCAGAGGCAGAGGCGGATGATGAGGCTGGGCTCAGGGATGCGCGGGCAGGATGCAGAGGAGGTGGCTACCCCTGGACGAGTCCCGGCTGCCCTGCCCACCCCCTGCCCACCGCAAGCGCCGCCCGCCCGGGCGCGGGGTCGCGCGCAAGGGCGGGGAGTCCCCAGCCCCAGCAGGGGAGCATCCGCGACACCGCAGCGCTGGGGTCAGTCCTCGGGCCAGCCCGCAGTAAAAGGCGTCGGTGACACCTTATCCCCTCGGAAGGCAGTCAGATGCTGTGGAGCTGCAGCAGCTCCCTGATGGGGGTAAAATCCCAAATCCGAAGGGGAGGGGAGGCAGCAGAAATGGAGCTTCTAGAAACTCCCTTTCGAGGCAACCAGCTGGGCTGTTTCAGACCTCCCGCACAGCGCCTGGAAAGATGGTGCAGGGACACGTTTTCAGAGCGCAAAGCCCACCGAAGCGCAAAGTGTCCGGATGGCGCGTGCGAGTTGCATCCTCTATGTTCACAGAGCTGCCCGGACTCCGTGACCCCTGCTCTGGACAGCAACTGGGCGGTGTAGCTTCCAGGGCGATGACAGAAATTATCTCAGAGGATTTTAGAGTCTGGAAGGCTTTGCCTCCCCTCCAGCTTTCCAAGGCTTTGTGAATAAAACGACAGAATCAAGGCTCTTAGCTTGAGAGGCATCATCTTAGGTACACCCGCTCTTTCCCAGTTCTAAGTATATCCTTTCTCATCTTCTCAGTCTCCTCTGATTAGCTGTTTGAGAGATGAGGCATTGCAGATTCATGGGACCCAGGGGTACCAGTTACCAAGGAAGGGGAAAAGAGCTATGTGCTTCATGTCGCTATTTCCAGCGTTTAGGGAATTGCCAGGATTCCTTTGAGGTCAGAAGACCCAAGCAGAGTCACAGCACAAGCATACAAAATGCAATCTTACGTAGCTATCCACACTTGTGCGTAGATATTTAAGTAGTTTAAGAGCTAGATGTATGCAGAGAATCAGTTCTATGATGCCTTGTGAGTTCTGCTCCCAAGCTTAGGCAATATCTTCAAGCCACTTTGAGCTTGCTCACACCAGCCAGTGAGTGCAATGGGCAGAGAAAAAAGCATGTGCTCAAGGCAGGGGTGGGAGGTTGGGGGTGACCAAGAACCCAGCTCTTCTCGTTAGATTGCATAATTACTTACCACAATTCTGGGGTGTTCATTCATATTTATAGGTTGCCTTAGTGGGCCTTTACATCAGGACATAAGCTCAAAGCAATAGCAGCTTTCATTTGGCAAATCCCTGAGTTTTCGGCTAGAGTGGAATTTCTTGAATGTTAAATAGATGTGCGATGGGCCATCATACAATCACAAATATCATTCAAGAACTACTTATTTCAGCAAACATTTAATAGATCACCCAAAGTGATGGGAGTGACAGGCAATTTTGACCAATAGAAGTAAGAAGTACAAGAGTGATTTGCCATTTTATGAAAATGTGGCTACTCAAGAGATATGAGAAGGAAGGCTTCATTCAGAAAAATCACTTCAAGGCTATTGAAGGGCTTGAACTGCTCCTCGGGTCCCCTGGTAAGGACTGTCACTAACATGGCCACTCTGTAAATTATTTTTTCTTTCCTTTTTTAAAATAGGAATTATGTTAATTTTAAGGGTTGTACCTTTGAAATAGTCGACAAAAATTGCGTTATTTTCAAAAATATTTTGTGATAGCCCTGGTATGTATTTGTTGCCTTGTACTGGGCATGTAGCTAAGCCCTTGTTCTGTTTCCAATTCTGTGTTGGCAGCAAGACACACCACAGTTACTGAGTAAATGACATTTTGAAAAATTGATGTGGTTACACCCCTACCAAAAACACAAAATAGCTTCACATGTAAAATTTGCTGAAAGGTAAGACCCGCAATCTTTATGCCTATATATTGCCATAGTCACAGTGACATGAAGAGCGTAAAGTGAGCAGCAAGTATGCCACTGTCTGGGTACAGAAGTAAGCTCTACTCCCTGACTGTGACTGCCCGAAACCTGGGCAAGGAGCATGGCTTCTTTGATTTTCGTTTCAGATGGTCAAAGAGTGAGGTTGACTGATGCATGGTTAGCTAAACAGCAAATGTTAAAATTCAAAGCCAGTATTGTATCTTCCCTTATGTTCTAAGGGCATCAACAAAACAATCACCTTCCTTGGAGATATCAGCAAACTGGCAAACTGGACATTCACAATCTAGTTCCAGGTAGGTGAGAGTGTGCATTATACATTCCTGGTCTCTACTTCACATTCCTACACCTGAGCTGCTTTCTGGATAAAGTGGACACTTTCTTACCTCTGACCTAATTTTGACAACAGTGAGAATGTGTAAATTATCTTGTTCAAGTAACGTACTTTAATTGGGTGTGTTTTTCCACTGTACTTTTTTATTACATAGTTTAAGCAATCCTTTCCAAAAAAATTATCTTCCCAACCAGAAAGAACTTTTTGAAGTTCTACCTTAATTTTATCTATAATATATGCTAGGTTAAAAATAGCATTATTGTTGTTTAATCTTTTGGAATCAGGACTAAATTTGTAATATAATTTAACTCTTAATCACATCTTTGTGCGTGCAAACTGTACAGTGGTCAATCTCTCCTAACAAAATACTGTTATGTCCTTCAGATTTCCCCATATCAGCTCTCACCCAGGAAGGTTACATAATTCATGTGAAAATGTGAAAGTTAAACATCTTTATTTTCAGCTTATAGTAACACATATTATGTACAGATGTGCATGCCTTAACAGGCAGTTCATTCATACCTTTTACCATATTTTGTCACAATGAACTTCTGAGAAAACCTCAGGGAACTATTGGTCAATTCTAATATCTCCCTTGCCTTCAAGCTAAAACTATGTGATCTACTAGGAAACAAAAAGGTACCACAGCAGAGTGGGAAGATGTGGCCCTTCCACACATAGTTCACAACCATTCTTAGGCAGACAGAAGACAGATGTACCAAAAATGAAGATAGAAAAGATCTATGTTGATTCTGAGCACAGAAAAAGATTGAATAACCTGGACAGGCACACACTGATTATTTGTGAGTGATGAGATAAATGAAATGTGAATAAATGTATCCTCACCATTGAACTTTGAGAACTGAAGGGCTTGCTGGAAAGACACAGAACACCTAATTGTGATTCCTTAAGATTATTATCAATTGCCTTCACTGTTACTGAAATATTATTCTAAGGGGAAAGAGAAGGAACCTAATTAATCAAAAGAATTGATTCTGAGAACCAGGTGTAGTTACAAATGTTACTGCCTCAACATTCAATTCATTGAAAGAGGATGGGCTGTGGAGGGGGAGAGGGTAAGATTGAGGATTGCCTAAGATAGGAAGATGCAGAATAGAAAATGTGTATTTCCATGGATTTCCAATAACTAATATGTAAGCCCAGATGTTTTCCTGAGATATTTGTCATTAGATGTAGAAAGGAAATGACACACACCACAGAAAACCCAGGAAGTAACTTTTCCCTTCCTACATAGCCAGGATGGTAGAATGTGAAGGATCCAGAGGTTTCTTATGAGACTAAGCAGGTATCACTCTCCATGATAAAGTATTCCTCCTATAAAAAACAGAAGAAAGAAAGAAAAAACACTTATATTGCCATGTCTGGGAGAGTGAAGTTTGAGGAGATTCAGGGCTGAAAACTAGATGACTTTGCACTAATGAGGAATTTTAAATATTAGCATATAGATTGGTAGAAGCTCTCCTGAGAGTAGAGTGGAAATAGAGGTGAAAAGAAAAGGATGCTTTGAAAAAATAGACCAGGTAACTGCTTTTAGAATCGGGCCACCCAGTAATCTATTCTAAAATTATTGAATGTGCACTACACAAAGCATTGGATTGGATGAGGAGAAGTATACACAGACAAATGTACTAAGCCCTTGACTATTTGGTATAGGAAGCACCTCTGAAGCACGAACAAGAAATGAGAGCATGAAATATGTTCCTTAAAAATGTTCATACCCAAAGACAAGATACCATAAAAGACACATTGAAAATTTGGGATACCATCCTTGGCTTCTCATGAGTGGCATCACACATGGCTGCATTCTCACCAGATGAGGTCCAGTGCTTGGCAGGGAGGTAGCTGCTTTTTCAAGGGAAGATGCAAGAATGGTGATTTGTGTGTCTTCTTTGATGCTCCAGCTACAACATGATCTTTATCTCAGAGGGCAGATGCTTCTGAACCGAACTAAATTGAATAACTCAGTTGTTTCCAACTGAGGCCACCAAGATGTCCTTAATGTGACTTACTCTGTGACTATGTTATAATTTATTTGATTCTTCTGCATTTTTAGTATCTCAAATCTTTATTTTCAACATAGTTACCACAAAAAAAGCATATATTACATTTGGTGAAATTACTTTACCTTGAGTGTGTGAATATGAAATGAATAGAATTTTCCAAAAGTGGCAAAATAATTTATTAAATATGAACATCAGGAAAAATAGAAATAGTTAATATGTCCTGGATGGAATCTTTTGTTTTACAGAAATTCAAAATATTAAGTTGGCAAACGTTAACTGAGACATGCTGGTCATATTCGCTGTGTATCCCTGACAATTACTAAGCTTCTCTCAGTCCATTTGCTCTTCTGTGAAATTCAGCTTATGATTCTTAACTGCACAGATGTTGAAAGGCTTATATTTACAAAATGCTTCATAAATATTAAAGCCTTGGGAAACTCTGAATTAGAAAACATAATCAGTTGTTCAGACTGTCTCATCTAAGGCAGTCCTAGGTGTTTTTCTCCCTCTGATTTAAATTCAGCAATTACCCAGATGAATTCTGGCTAATGCACATCCCAGGCTATGAGTATTGGATTATTTGCTGTATGTTTTAAGCATTAAAGTACACATTGTTATGTTGTGTACCGATCTATAGATGTATGAAGCCAGGGGACATTTCAAACTATTCAGATTCCCTGAGAATATCTTCAAACAGCTTGAAGGAAACGGGAATAAGGATGTAACAATGAATTGCCCACGCTTAAGGATGTAACAATGAATTTCCCACGCTTCAACCCAAAGATCAAGGATGTTGCTGATCTTTGCTATGGAGTCATGTGTACAGGATCCTGACCATGTCATTTTGATGTCCTAATTATGTCTTAGAGTTACATCTTGAGGACCATCCTAAAA